AAGATAATGGTCACTCGATCTGGCAGTCAAATTAGGAGCTCGTAAATTTGCTATTTTACCTATCCGAAACTTGTGGGACTGGATTTTGCACTATATCTGACGTCATTGTGACATTCATGTCATTTCGACATTATACAGAACTCTTTATCAGCCACCCGTGGGACAGAATCGAAAAGTTTTGTATGGGGCTTGTAAAGAAAATGACATTGACATTTAAAACGTCACAGCGTTATCTGCTATTTAAAATTGGTGGGACAGAAATTTTGTATTTTATCTGACGTGACGTCATATTTACACTATCAGGGCCTCTATCTACCACCGGTGGGACAGGCCCTTAGTATTCTAAATTATAATATATTTAACTAGCTTTTGCCCGCGACTCCGTGAAATTTGAAAACAATGATAAAGAAATGAAAAAAATATAGCCTATGTTACTCACAGATAAATAACCTTTCTAACGGTGAAAGAATATTTAAAATCGGCCCAGTAGTTTTTGAGCCTATTTATTACATTCAAACAAAGTTTTCCTCTTTATAATATTAGTATAGATAGAATTGTATGTTTGTCTAAGGAACAAATGTCTGCTAAAACAGTATTTTATTTAATATATATAATAGAAGTCTGTAAAAGTTTAAAGGAAATGTAAGCGTCGGACATAGATAGCAAACGTCTGCCCAAAGATTTATAGATATCTGTTTGAATTAAGATGTGAGTTCGTTTTAGCTTTATAATTGGTCTTCTCATTCTATTTTTATTGTTTAAAACCAAATTAATTTAAGGATTTAAAGACTTTCGTTTAGTTTACTGTATTCTGTAAAAACTATCTAAGAAATATAAACGCCAAAAATATATTTACCCTTAAAAAGCATTCAAAATATAATTTTTATGGGTCGTTCGTTGTTTACACTCTTTTATGTAGTCAAAATGAAATAACGACAGTTGTCTATTCTTTACCCTCAGCAAGGGATTTATCCTTGAAAATGACTCCTACACAAAATCCAATTAGAAAAGATCTCCAGAAAAAGGTTCCGCGCTGCGTTTACTCTTCAATTTTGTAGCGGCGAGGGGAGCGAGGTATTTCATCCTAAATTTGCTATGTGCCCTTAGGGCTACCAGTTTTATTTGAGTTTTAATTATTAAAACTTTCATGAACTGCTTATTTCTTTTTATGGGATTGTCGAATTAATTTCTTTTGTTTTCTAACTCATAGCATTATGTGTTAATTACTTACAGTTAGAAAGTACTGACTTCATTTGCATTTTTGTGTTCCCGGTACTATTTGCTCGAGGGCAAAATATACAATAGAAGTAATTGCTGTTACAATTTACACAGGCGTTGATGTTTCATATTCTCTATTTTATTTAAAAAGTTTTAAACGATTAGGAATAATTTAAGACCAAACATTATCACGTCTGTTGAATAATATAAAACATTTTGAAGTTCACAAAGAGATATTCGCGTTGAATTCTCATTCGACGCTGCAAGACCGTTGTAAGTAAATTTAACTTTAAAATATGCATAACAGTTTTCCGATGCGATCCCCTTTCGGAATTTAAACACATCGAGTCGTATTAAGATACATTTCAATTCCATTGCACTTCCGAAGTTAGAAAAGAAAATTCACTTTGAAAACACTATAGTCTTCTCGGTTTGGTTTGCAATGGTCGCTCGAATATTTTATCTAAGAGTTTCTTATGAATTCTTCTTAGCTTAGCGTTTTGCGAATATGGTTGAATATTATGTAGAATCTATTCATGTAGAAATATAAATCCTATATGAAATTGGTTACTGTTTAAAAAGTTCTTAATTGAAATGTCTTCTTTTCAGTTTGCCTACATGATACAATTAGATTCTAACAATCTTGAATACCGATTATGCTAAATATTTAGTCCTGAAAAATGTGACGTCAGCATACAAAAACTTATAGAGATTTAAAAACATAATGATCTTAAGTATTCCTCAATACGGTCTGGAAACTTGTTAATGCTATTAGAGCAAACTGCCGAGGCGTTAAGCTTGCAACCTTACTTAATTCTACTTATTCGGGAAACTTTGACGGGACCGCCTCGTTCCCGCTTCTCCAAGTCTTTTACAACCCACCGGCGTTTAATGCCTGAATAGTTTTACTAGGTAATTCTTGACAAGAAATTTCTATCGGAGATGTATCAGAGCATAATTTGTATTGTAGTATTTTTTATTTTAATACTAAAAAAATTGTACTAAAATTAAAAAATCGATTAGTTAAGGTCTAAAAATAGTGTTTTTATCGTGATTTTAAACAGGGTCATGTTATCATAAAATTGGTAGAAATAATCTGCTAATTATAAGAATTTTAATAATTATATAAATAAAATACATGCTGCTAGAAATGTACAAAAAATGCGATAGTATTACTAGATTCCACGTAACAACAGGAAAATATCATAAACAATTTTTTTTTCAATAGCAACAAATTTTAATAATATACACGAAATTTGCACAAAACAAAATTAGTTTGTCAAAAACTCATTACCTAATGAGCGATGAAAAAAATTAACATCAAAAAACTAAACAATAAGTACCTAGAAAGTTGGATATTGCTGCCGACGTCACTGGCTTTTGTCAAAACAATTTGCTGTTGAGCTTCTACATTTGTATTTCTTTCCATAGTATCGGAGTCTCCGCTATGACGATAGCCTTTTGTGTTCTCTCTAATTTTACTAGGCCACGTGGTTGCTCTCTCCTCATCAAATCTGTTTATTACAGCGTTTTCAGTTAATATAATCACAGTAGTTTGGTCAGCCGTTGCTGCAGTTAAAGTTGGTGGGACTGCATCACTTTCCTTAAGTATTTTCTTAGTTTCTCTGGTATTTTCAGTGGCGGTAGATGGCGTAGTTGATGTTGTAGTACGCTCGGTATCTAATTTTGCATCCATTACTATAGTCGCCATATCGCTAGTCGCAGCATTAATTTCATTCGCTGGAGTATCCTTGTTGATAGTACTACATGTCGTATTGCACATTTCCTCGTCGCAGCGCTCTTCAATGCCACAGTTAACGAACTTCTCCCAAGATGGCAGATATTGGAACAAGTATGGTTGTCTACAATATTCGTTGACGTAAGTCTGCAGAGCGATAACTTCGCCTTCACAAAGAAGAGGTCCACCGGAGTTACCCTTAAAGCATTAAATACATATAAGATTTCTGTGAGTTGATTTAAATCTATACTATTATAATAAAGCGTAAACTCGCACTTCTTTGTTGCCTAAGATGTCAGCAATTACAGCATATTTTTGAATAATTATATTATAAAAGGCCTACACTTACGTCACGCTTTAGGCTATATATTTCCACGCCATTAAACTTAAGGGGTACATATTTTGGATAAAAACTAATGTGGGAAAGACACCATAAGTTGCTGCTAACATCAAGAAAGCAAGATTGCCATGTTTTGTCATGTTATGTCATTTTGACATTTTCAATTGACAATTTGACACATGTAAACAATAAAATAATTTTATGCTGATGAAATCGCACTAGAACAGCTAGTAATTAATATAGTTTAAACGACAGTGCAATTTTATCGCAGCAAAGACTTTAGTTTTGAATGAAGTGATCAAAGTAATGTTAAATTTTACTGACAATACATTTCAAACACTCACTTGGCAAAAATCAGTTTCATAGTTGAAATTCTTATTATCTTCTCCATCAGCGCCGCATATCATCGTTTCTTGCTGGTAGTTGGCGCCACAATCGGTTGACGGGTTCAGTAACTCTACAGTTAATTGCATCAGTATGCTGTCTTCCGAAATGTTATTGAACCTCCTCTGCAGGATTTTTAAGAAATACATTTTTTAAACTTGGAACTACTTACATGGATTAGAACCAGAACTTTTTGGTAACAAATGACATCGTGAAAAGGACAGGAAGTATTTTAAAATCTACAACTCATAATGCAATACATTGAGAAAGGCCTATCCAGCAAAGTGTATGGCATACTGAAATGTTAGTTTTAAGCTAAACGGGCAAGTGAATAATGAAATATAAAGTATTGTCAAAATAAATATTCTCACCGCATAAACAAGAATCTTACAAGAAGATGTCAACATTATGTTTCGCTTGTAGTTTAGGCCGATCGGCGATATTACAGAAGTAACATTGAAAGGGAACAGCGTCTTCAACAAGGTCACATCATAAAACGACCATTGCGTTGCATTGAAATTGTACGGCTGCACAATTTGTATCACCTGTTAATATTAATGAATACTTAAGTACAAAAGCTACTGTAATTATTATTAACAGTTAGATGTAACTATAATTTCCTTAACAAAAATGTGATTTCAAAGAAGATGCCAAGACTTGGTGACTCTAGTCACTTCTTCGCATGAAAAATGGAGAAAACGGGAGCGAAATTTTTGATGCAATTTTGTGTTAAGCGTGAGTATTAAGTAAAAAAAAGAAAAGATCAAAAATATGTACAAAGACTAGAAAACTATTGTACCTCTCGTTCTTGTTCTTCCTCGTCTTCGTTAAAGTTGAAATTGGGGTCAATGGTGACAGAGCCCAACCTGGCAATGAGTGTCTTGTGCGGGAAGACCTGCCCTTCGCCGCGGTCTAGAGACGAGGAGATTAGCCAGCTCGATTGGATCAGAATAGCGCTACGTCTGAACCGCTTCCCAGTCTCATCCACTACTGACACGTCTTGATAGTAAATGAATCCCTGTAAGTATCTCGAATGCATGTTAAAAATGTCAACCTGTTGTAGGATGCACACGAATTCTAACGACTACATACCATGAAGGGGAATATTCCTCTTTTGACTTCATTATCGGAATCAGCCGCCGCCCCCGTTAAATAGGTAACTGAAAAAGTGTAATTGTCAAAATCATATTTCATTGTTTAACAACCAGATCTCGTAGTTTGGTTCACATTAATTTTATTGTACTGTCCATTATAAAACGGGACTAATACGCGATGAATACAAAAAATAATAATAGTACGTAGTGTTCTCCAGATGACACGACACAGGTGTTAATCAAGATTAAGTAATTTTCCTACAAGTTACATTAAAAACCAATATTTACTTTATAATGAGTGAAAGACTAACTGATGTGTACCACGATAAAACTATAAATATTTCACTTTTACGATGTAATAATTACAGTTTTTCACATATTATTAATATAAAAACTTACCAAGACACAGTGGAAATAAAACACAGATTTTCATATTTTAGTAACAATTCATTTAAAGAAATAAATGTATGACGTTTGCCAAATTCTTGTGACAAATCTATTTAAAAGAAGAATATGAAATAGTTTTAGTTTAAGCAGCTTTGACGTCGGCCAGTTGAAGTCCGAGCGTGTACGATTAAAAACATAAACTACAAACCTTCTTTTAAATGTGAAATATATTGTTTTCACAATTTGGTGAATTAAGAAGGGAATCAGCAAAGTCACGTCCCTGTATTTTTCGTCGTTATCTCTGACAAAGTTGCGAGGACTCCAGTCGAAGGCATTAATCAGAATCGCATCCCGGCCAAGATGTATTATCCTCAATAAAGCGAAAAGAATGACTTTGCAAATTTAAAACTCGTGTCTTACAGATAACCGAAGAGGATAAATTCGGGAAACATCTAATTATTCATGTAAGGGGTGTTAAAGAATCCGTATTAATATGCTGCGAGGGACGTCGGCTTTTGAAAAATATGCCAAGAACATAAAATGGCGCAGTTTATTTTATAATGTTGCGGACGGGAACATGACTTGGGCGGGAAAGTTTGAAGTCTGTCTTATTCAAGATCTATTTACGTATTTTGCTTTGTTATTTAAATCCGTATCGTAAATTAAAGTAACGTAAGTATAGGAGAGATTTAATAATGTAATTTTCAGTATAATGTCTTCTTAGATTTGCATTGCAAAAATTGATCCTTTCCACAGTACAGTTGCTGGCGTTTTGAATCTAGCGTTACTTCGAAAACAAAAGGGTTAAAGACATTGTGATATGGCGACCATAAATGAGCGGATAGATCGCACTCGAACCGCTGATGTGGCGGCGTCACAACGACTGCTCAGACGATTATTACGGACCAGTTTGCGATGAGCTCCGTTAATGTTTTCTACTTCCCTTTCTTCATCTCGTTTGCTATTATCTGCGAGGGGTAAGAGATATCAACACTCAGTGACCATGCTATAACGACTCGAAATGAACGTGCTACGTGTTTTGGCGGCTACCCACAATTGCTTAACACTTACTCTGAGTAGCCTTTAGTTGTACTATAATGAGGTAAAATCGTTCCACGAACAATTTCAGCTTGTTCAACGATTATTTTTAAACCATTGTTTTTTAGTGTATGTATGTAATCATGACTGACGTTAATGAGAAATCAACACCAGAGATAATTTTGAGAAATGTCTTTGTAGTTATCTTGAATTTATTTTCACAAATATTCAATATGTAATAATATTATAATAATTAAAACATAAAATTCTACACCTGTTACAATTTGGCTTAATTAAATATATTTTTCTTATGTTTCCTTTATAATATTCAATGGAATTAGCTTCGAAAAGTGTTGTCTGTAAAAGTTAACGGCGCTGTTATCGCAATGCAAACTTTGTCGGAACAGTGTCAGTACGTGTCCCGCGGGACGTATTGAGGACTGGGGGACTGACGACCAAAGTTCTACCTTTTCTCAGCCTTGCTATGGAACGTAGTAATCGGTTCCCTTTAAAGGTAATGTTAATAAATTTATACATTTTTGAAATGCTTTTTGGAATTAACTAGTTATCTAAATTTCGTTCATTAACTGTGCTTTACCTGTCCTTTTTATATGTATGGTATGTACTCGTTTGTGTTCTCTATATATGTTTAGTATATAATGTTGGCAGGATGAAATTTATTAGAACTATCCGAGAAGAAAAATTCACGTGCAACGAGTAGTATTCTAAGTAATATCTGAGCTTTTCCATCGATAAAATGTTGCAAAACAATTCCAATATAAATATGTACGGGGCAGTGAGAGTCGGTGAGTGCACGGGGCTTAAAAAACTTTAATGAAATTTCCAAGGTTTCTTGTTAATTAACCATATTCATGTACAATATTTCGTTTTCATATTTGGTTAATTTCTACCTAATGAATTTATTTGTGTTAATTTAGTTAACTAAAGTGTTTAATTTAACTAGTAAATAAATAGCATAGTTTTATTCAATACAAACTTTTATAATAAGAAATTAAACCTTTTTTGTTGTTGAAATTAAAAATAATTTTGTAGGAATATGAGTGGTATCAATTTGTGATGGTCGTAAAAATGTACATACATATATACTCGTGCGAAATATCTACTTTTAATACAAAAGTACCAATGTAAAATGAGTTACCAAACTGTAATGTGTGAATTTTATGCCACATTTTGCTGAAAAAAACGATCTTGTTCACTTGGAATAAAGTTCTTTTTATGCATGCATTCGTATCATATCTGAGACTTAAAATAGGGAAGAACGAAGGTGATATGAATATTAAACGCTTGAAGAATTAGAAGATTTATACTACAATTGGAAAGTTGGGTGAAGCTCGCGCACTTAAATGAATGTTTAACATTATCTGTAGAGTTTAAAGCGAGTTGAGCCTCTTAAACAACTTGTGAAGAAACTTTAATAGGCAGAGGCTCTCGGGCGATTAATTCCGAGACGTGGAAGGTGGACGGGAATTCTTAATGTTAAAGGGTGACTTGGACTGAGAGACTGTTCAATAGACAGTGTAGAGTTACGAAATGCTTTGTTTTTATAAAATTACTTATTCCGTAGTAAATACCAAGTAACACTTTCTTTGTGTTAACAAACAGTCTGCGAAGATATTCATAAGTAGCTGTAATATAAATATAGCCTAAATTACTCACAGATAAATTACCTTTCTCATGGTTAAAGAATTATTAAAATCGGCACAGTTGTTTTTGAATTATGTCCATACATACAAAAATGTAAAAATACAAATGTTTCCTCTTTAAAATACTAGAAAAGTCACAAACATACGATGATATACAATGTAAAAACCGTTTGAGGTTGTTTCGAAGTTTTAGTCTGTTTATATTGTTGTTTATATATTCACATAAAACATAGATTTGTTGTAAAGGCAAGTGCAAAGCGAATACTCGCATGTAATATAGAGTTGATTGGCTCGCTCCGCGGCCGCTCATTGTTTGACGGCGTCATTTTCCGGCGGCCGTCCCGCGCCCGAGCCTCACCATTGTGCTGTGCTTTATTGAATTTGATTTACGCACCAATTTTTGTAGGCTTCGGTTTTTATTAACTGACCTCGGCGCCGTTGTAAACTTAATTGAATCCGGCAACAAAAGGCATCGAATGAAAAGAGCGTCCGCCAGTGTGCGATGCAGATTATAATAGATTTTTCCCGAATTTGCATCGGCTTTAAGTTTTTCGATATTGGATTTTTTAACGGTGGTTGAACTATTGTTTTCAAATTTAATATTTGGCGTATGTCACTCAATAGATTTATTTTAAATAGATGACCATGGTTTTATATGTTTTTTTTTTTAATCTATACTATTATAATAAAGCGTAAACACACATTTCTTTGTTGCCTAAGATGTCAGCAATTACAGGATATTCTTGAATAATACTTTTTTAATCTTTTTCATGCGAATGATGCCGCACGGGAACAGCTAGTTCAGTATAAATGTTGCGTGCTTAAGTATTGTAATTACTTAAAATTATCAATGAATAAGAAAGCTGTTCACTTATGTTACAAAGTCCTAGAATATAGATAGATCATTGATACTTGTAGCAGGCGAGGAAAAATGCAACAAAGTTGTAATAAAAAAAAAATCTACGTAATTGCGACTCTCCTTTTTCATATCTAAGATTAGTTGCAGTAAATTTAATAATTTCTATCCTATTTAAACGTACAAAGCTCGTCACAATTAAGCATTAAGTTGCTGTCTTTCCTTCAAATTTTCTGCAACAAAAGCGAATTATACGCGAAGACCGTAATCTGAGTTAATTATCTGAAATTCGGTCGTATTTAACGTCGTTTCAAAACGAGTTTTCACAATTGTAGTCGAGTCAAAAGAGACTTATAAAGGAATCGCAAACACAATTAAGGGCAACTTGTTTGTTGAAAATGTTAGGGAAAGTGTGTGCATGACGCGACGCTCGCTTTACATCGATACGTTAATGATATTCCGTTCATATATACATCAAGAAAACTCACGTGTTGAGTGTGTAATTAAACATGTCTTTTACACTAATATCTGTCGTAGTAGTTGAGGTGATCGGACTGTAATTCACAAGCAATGCAGCACAGGATATAATGGATTTATATATTCTACCTGTTGCGTGCAATTCTAAGATAAAAAAAAGTGAAAAGTTACTACACTACCTATGGTTCTATATGAGTAAATGGACTCCGCGTTTTTTATACATAATAAAATACAGTCCATACTTCATCCATTGTATACCCTTTTCGACTTTTAATTTATTTAACTTCCAGGTCAAAATTAAATATGGTCGTCACTGATTATCGCGATGGTCACCAAACTGTGCAAACATAAACCTTTAAAAAAAGGAAAATGTATCGTTCAAAGAAGTCAGTTACGACGGTTTACTTGGTAGCGCAGCACCGCGGCCGGTGAAGCTTCATCTCGCTATGGAGATACAGAATCAAATCAGCCGGAACAATGGCGACTCAATTAAATCCGCGCACTCTAATGTCTTGGAAACGTCACCGCAATATGATTTTTGTTTTTTCTCTGTGAAATTTTTAGTTAATCAGATTTTATTATCCAAGTAGAACAACATGTTTGTTTGGACCTTGATTTCGTAAAATAATCAATGTTTATTTTCATTAAAAAAGAAAATTATTATTAATATCCTTTAGTGATTATTTCGTTAATATTTAATATTACATACTAGCTTTCGCCCGTGACTACGTCCACGTGGAATTTAAAGAAAAAACAAAAGTCTATGTTTTATCCACGCTATGCTGTTATAAGGCTACAAACTCTAAAAAACATTCATCCATCTATCTAAATTTTAAATTTTACTTAATATCATAAATGCGAAAGTTTAGATGAATGGATGGATGTTTGTAGCCTAAACGGGTGAACAGATCTCGATGAAATTTGGCATAGAGGTAAAGGATAGTCTGGAAGAACACATAGGCTACTTACTTTTATTTTTTTATTCCACGCGGACGAAGTCGCGGGCGAAAGCTAGTTTAAAATATTGGTAAGATTAAATTTAACTTTTAAAGTTTACGTGATATTAATTAGAATGCTTTTA